GACCACATCCTCTACCCACCAGTAGCATCACCAACGATACCGTAGGAAACGCACTCTCGTGCATAATCCTTCTCCGAAACCTCGCCCCCCTCAATCATAAACTTTATCTGGGGTCGGGCATCACGGATGCCTTGCGAAGCAGGTTTGGATTGCAGTGGTTATCTATGCAGACATGTGAGTGCAGCCGTTGTAGGGCATTGACATTTTGGACGAGGTGTTGTTGCCAGCGTTTCACTGAAGCCTAGATCTACAGTAGTTACGTTGTGCTAAAGAACCACAGCGCTCTCCATGCCAAGCGCAACGTCAGTGCAGACAAGGGTCCCTTGAAATCTCCTCAATATATTTGACGCCATGGAGACTCGACGCAGATCTGGCAAGTTCTGGTGGGTTCAGATTGGCGAAGACGACAGCCGTCTCACGAAAGTATTCGAATCAAGCCTCGGAGAACAGAAAGATGTGGATGAGTTGTTGAATGCGGTGCAACAGCAAGAAAAGATGGCAGTGCCTGCTTCAACACTTAAGCTGTTCAGTAGCCGTGAGGCGCAGCATCCAGAGAGGAAGTCAACCAACATGAGCATGTTGAACGGCGACAGTAGTGACGCGAGCCCACTGATTGTCAAATGTTCAGCGCCAGAATCATCAGAAGCCCCTCGTCAATTTTCATCCTCGTTCTTGTTCTCTTTAGTTCAGTTTTTCCCTTCCCGCTTATCCCCACTACTTAGCCTATTTAGCCCCCTTAAGTAGTTCACGCTAGGAGGTTTGGTCCTTGCTAGGTTCTTTGCTTGGTTAGTTTGGTGGCTCGGGTGTTTTTGCGGTTTGTGTGTAACACTTTCAAACTCTTTTGCAATAGTCGACATATCAGAACCTCTTTCAGGCAAGAAGCAGCACCACGAACTTGGAAGATGTCTTCAAGAAATACGCGGCAGATGTCAAGGAAGATGTCAAGGAAAACGTTAGGAAATACGTCCAGCAGACCGCGGCAGATCTGCAGCCCCTTCGGCATGCCGTGTTTGGAATTCCGGCAAAGAGTTTTCGCAGTGCAACAGTTGCCTCGGATGTGCGAGTCGCATGTGTTGCACATCATGGTGGAATCGAGCAGTGCTTGATTCTTCGGCACTTGCATGCCGATGCTGCATCACACTACGCGTGGAACGTCTGCGCTGCACATATCTACAACAAGGAGAAGTGCAATCAAGCCGCAGTTCTTGACTTTGGTGTGGACGATCCTCAAAACATTCTGGTTCTTATGCGACATTTAAAGTATGAGTTTGACAAAGGGCGGTTGATGTTCATTCCAGCGCTCGAGGATGCTGCTATGCAGCAGCGAAAGCGACGGTTCCGAGATACCCTGCAGCCTTCCGCAAAGTTGCCGCTGGAGATTCACGTGCGCAACGAACTGAGGAGTGAAGACGTGTGGACATGCCATTTATCTCCACATTCGGAGAAGTGGTACCATAAAGGTGCAGGTCTTGAGGGCTGACGGTCATTATTCTCCACTCACTTTCGGGGAGTTGGATGGCAAGATCTTTGAAGCAGCGCCGGTGTACATGAGGGCATTGTTCGAGAAAGCCGTGGGCGCGTGGCTCGCACACAAAGGCGACATGCCGAACCCGCATGATTCAAAGTACCTGGAGCTCAAGATGCTCGAGCTGGGAGAAGTATGCCCACATTCGCTGGTCTGATCGAATCAGACAGGTTGGCAGTGCATCAAAAGAACAACGCGTTGAGCATCCCAACCCTCCTGCCTGATGGACATGTTTCACATGAGATCTCTGCAAGCGAGGAAAGGAAAACAGGACAGGCAGCGAAAGACCCAAACTCAGCAGTTGAGCCAAGCAAAGGGGTGCATGCCTGCGATATGTTGAGAAACCTTGTCGATTTTTGACCCGAACCCAAAACCATAGCGCAAAACAGCCACGCCGCATATTTAGCACCGAATGAAAAACAACCAGCAACAAAGCCCAAGCAGGTTGCAGAATTGCAGAGCTGTTGTTAGGTTTTATACCTTTAGTATTTCAAAGCGCAAATATGGACGGCTTTGCCCTTCTACGAAATAGTAGTTCTGTCCTAGTTTCTTGTCAACTCTCTCAACGGTAAACATATTTTGTGACCATGTGCTTATTGAAATTAAAAAGCATAGTAAATTAAACAGTTTGGATTAACATTTAGACATTAAAATCTATATTATAACGACAGTAAAAGCCCTTTGGGCTTTCCAGCCATGAACTGAAAGATGTGCAACATACGCAATCAGCAAATCGCATTTTACATTTTGTAGTAAGTGGAAATCCCCAGTTTTGACGCTCGCAGAGTCTCGCGAGCTTAGCGACGCTCGGCAAAGCCTCACGAACACTCGTGACACCTTAACGCCCCGATTGATAATGAACCAGAAGGAACGCGTGAAAGGGGAGTAACGTGACAACTTCTCCTATCATAAGCATAGGATTAATTAGTTTGAATCAATGTTTATCATAACACATAAATTATGATAAATATTGTAAATTAATATAATATGACAATATTTGTCGATAAGATAACAAAAGATTTTACTAATGAGTATCATCCTCCCAATTGTGACAGGCAATGTGTTAGATGTAAAAAATGGAAGAATTTAGTGCATGTTAAGAGATGCTATTATTGTAAAACAGGAGTGTATTTAATGCAGTATAGGTTCACGGTTACTTGTTGTGCATGCCTTGATGGTATGAAAAATACAATGATAAACGATGAGTTTCAATGATAAACGAAAAAATTGAGTTAAAAGGATAGTGTCTTTTATATATAACATGGAAGGTTCAAAAATCAAATGCTCAAGGTGTCACAGTAAAAAGACAGTTGAAGAATTCGGATACCGTAAGAATAACAAGAATAGCAAACTGCTTGCAAATTGTATTCAATGCAAAGAGAAGAGAAAAGAGTATAGTCGTAAATACAAAAAACCAGATGACAAGCCGTCAGAAATAGTTACTATGTTTAACCATACACGACAATTATTGCTTTTATGATGAACTTCTTGAGAATTACTTTATGATATTCAGTAAGCAGGATAACAAGGTAATAATTGAAATTCCTATGAACGATGAGGTAAAGGATATCAATAGTAAGCCTTAGTAAGCAACCAGAACAAACCAGTGAAGACAACTCCTTTGCTAAACTGTATTGGATAATGCATTCATAAGTATAATATAAACATACCTCATAAGAATTTACGAGATATGAGTTCATTATGATTACAACCTTTTAAACTAAACCTAGTAAAATCTATGAGNNNTGGATGGGGTAAGTGGTTATTCCTATGCTGGTCTTGGTAATGGGGAAGTAGTGGTGTCATAGTTGGTGGGGCGTAGGGGGGAGTATAGGAATAATCCTCTTATATGGATGAAGTAATCGGTTATTCCTGTACCGGTATTGGTAATGGGGATGTAGTGGTGATATAGTTGGTGAGGCGTAGGGGGGAGTGTAGGAATAATCGTCTAATGGGTTGACTTGTGGTATTATTACCCAAAATGGGCAAGGGTTTTGCTAGCTTTTAGCTTTGGTGTACGTGGTACACAGATTGAATCCACCAGCCGTGCCAACTTTACGTACACCGCATCATAACACCAAGAGCTAACAGGTCTGAGTCAGCACGTACTTTGCAGGCAGCCTCTGAGCTTCTGAGGTGTCGAAGCCATATGCCCTGCAGTCTCCCGTTGCCAGGACTTTGCCTCCTGCAGAGGAGCAGCGAGCGAGGGAATTTTGGGGTCTGGGTTTCACTCCCGAGTCAGGTCAGGCTTTCCGAGGCCGGGCAGGGCCCTTTTCGGCGTGGGGCAGGAGTCGGTGGAGGTTGTTCTGGTCTTCCCCGATGAGAAGCGGAAAAACATCGCCTGGAAGCTCTTGTCGCAGGCCGGGTCGAGCGGAGCCGAGGCGAGACCCCATGTTGACCGGTTGCCAGGCCCATTCGCAGCTCATGCACCGCCTCTTCAACAGCGTTCTGAGCTTTCTCACCACGGTGAGGACGAAGGCTTAATGGGAAGAGTTAGACCCGCACCCAGAGCCCTCTGAAGCCGAAGGGGACTCTCGGTGGCCAAGCCCAAAGTGGCGGGGCTTCCCAACGAAGACTGTGAAGGTCCGGGCGTTGGCCTTCGATCCTTTTCCGGAGACTTAAGTTGTGAGTCTGATCATGAACGATGGCGACGAGGAGGGTAGTCACAGCACGCCAAGCAATGTGCAGCAAAACGCCGGATGCGTAAAGATGCTGGGAAGATGCGTTGAGGAATAGCTACAAATAGCGAGCACGAGAGCAACAACTGCTACTACCATCACTACTGCAGCACCACTGCCGCTACGACTGCCCCTGCCACTACCACTACCGTCCGCTACCGCCGATCTACCGCTGCGACTCCCACGTACCGCTAACGCTACCACTACCATTACCACTGCCACTCGCCACGACTAGCTGCTATTGCTACTGCTCCTGCTGCTCCTGCTGCTAAAGGAGTAGTAGCAGTACCTTGAGGCTGACGCTCGGACCATGGAGCTCTGCATTGAGTCTCCGTGTTAACGACCGCTGTGGGGCACTGGAAGCACGGAAAGCGGCAGCCCATGGAGCAGATGACACCACAACGGCAGGATACTGCACGCTGCACGTTCCCGTTCGGTGCCCCTGGTTGGAGCTAGCGCCCGACCCGTGATCGCGGGAAAAGATGCATGCAGGTGCGGAAATGTCCGAGCAATGAAGTCCTGCTAGAGTCTGCTAGAGGCGTCATAATGTGAAGGCACTGCAGACTCAGGGGAACTATGACGGTCATCTCGAATTGGCCAGCCTATGGGTCTCACCGCAGTTGTAGGCGCAGCTTGGAGCTGCCTGTATTGTCGGGTCGGGTTAGCAGACAATCCCGGCCAGAAGCCTCATGTCTCTTCCTATCCCTTTCCAGAACTTCCTTTAACCGACACGGGGCGGCCTTCCTGACCACCCATCCCCGAAGTACAGCTTGGAGTGCAACAGCTTCGTTCGAAAGGACCTGAAGAAAGCCGGTTGGGGGCTTAGTCGGAGCAAGTTTGTGGATGTTGGTCTCTGCATGAATTGTCTCTGTCTGTTCGTATGGAGACCTTTGGGTCAGTGCAGTCCCTTTCCAGGCTACCTGGGTTCAGAGGTCGGGTTGAGGCGTTCAGCGCGGGCGTTAGCATTTGGTGTTTCGAGCATGGTGTAGTAGTCCGCCTCGACTGTTTCGTGTACTACGTCACTGTGCTGAATTCCATACACCGGGTCGTATTGGTGATATTTCAAGAAAAGCAGACCTCAAACCGGCCCGCTCTTCCCGCACTTCCGTGAGACCCAGCGCCGACTGAGGGAAGAAGATGCAGCTGCTGGTGAAGTATGTCGGAGAAACGGAGAAGGTGCGGGTCGTACCTATTAATGTTTGAGGCGCGTTGCCTTACCTGCGATGTCTTGTCCAGAGCGCTGCCAGGAGCGGGATGCTCTGAAGAAGGAGCGGGATGCGCTGAAGAAGGAGTTGGAGGTGGGCAGTGACAAGCAAACAGCCACACGACCTTGGGTCAAGAACGCATGAGCAGGACTCTAGCTGAAGCCCTGCGCCACGAACTTCTTGTTCCGTCGTCAGGAGAAGGAGGCGTTGCTTCGCAAGTACAAACAAGCTGCGAAGTCTTTCAAGGCCACGCGGGGGTCAGCTTTTGGGTGTGGCAGGGTGGCTTGTGATAGGAAGCTCTGAAGAAGCAATGTGCTTGTATGACTCTAGGGTTGTTACAGAGCAGAAATCACGAGGAGAGGAGGCGAGGAGATGCGAGATTGGATATTGTCTTCGGGACGGGTTCCGGGTCTGTCAGATTAACCAGCCCCAAGATCCAAAGCCAGAGCCACCCGGAGGCCGCATCCCCTGAAAGTAGCAAAGCCACTAGCGCCACAGGCCACGAAGCTCTGTAAGTGCTGAACCCCGAAACCCTGGACGCCCTAAACACACGCTGAACTGACAGGAGGTGTTGCGAGACGACGAGGCAGGCTACGGAGCATTGGGGCATTGATTTGAAGCTGTCAGCCTTTGGGACCGTCATGTGTGGAGCTGTCTAAAAGTCAATGTGCTTGTATGACTGTAGGGTATTGCAGCGCAGAAATCACGGGAGAAGATGCGAGAAGATACGAGATTGGATATTGTCTTCGGGACGGGTTCCGGATTGTCTTTCAGATTTAACCCGGCCCGCCAGCCCCAAGATCCAAAGCCAGAGCCACCCCGAGGCCGCAATCCATGAGTGGAGTAAAGACCGCTCGCACGACAGGGCACAAAGCTCTGTAAGTGCTGAACCCCGAAACCCTGGAGGCCCTAAACGCACGCTGAATTGACAGGAGGTGTTGCTAGACGACGAGGCGCGATAATGGGGCATGAGCTCTTGATTGGAATCTTGTGGGAAGCCAACCATTGCCCCCAGCAGACATAGCCATGAACATAGATCTGACTGTGAGCCCCGTCAGCGGTCAGCTGTATGATCGTGGTTATCAGTACCATCCGTCACTAGAAACGATACATGTGCTTTCTGGCTGTGTCATACTTGCTGTCATCTCTGGTACTCCTGAGCGTGGCCTGTCTGCAAAGCTTCTGAAGGTTGAGGTGACTCCGACTGCGAAGATCGAGCCGGAGGCCTCGGCATAGCCTCTGCTAATCATCACCATCGCCGTCACCATCATCATCACCATCATCATGGGCCAAAGTGTCAAAGTTCTCGGGTAATGCTGAGATACTGATGGTGGCGAAGGCATGGTGCAGAAGCACCTCTCGAGTATGGCATTTAGCGAGTATATCTGGCTCAATCGAGCCAGCGAAGCGTCTGCCCAAGTCGCCTGCCTTTAACTCGACAATCTGCAAAGTCCAGGGATCTATCGCTTCACCTTGTAGTGAATCATTCTACGAGACCGGGGAAGCTTCAAAAAGCTCCGAAACGGGATCCTCGCGAGCCAACAGCTCGTCCTCAGACGACAGGAGGAGCTCGACGAGTTCAGTCGGATCATCTTCGAAAACTTCGCCGAAGAGAGGAAGCAGGCCCACCGCCCCGCCATGGACTGGCTGACTGGCTGGTGGGACTGTTCAGATCTTCAGCAAGCAAGGCACGCTTAGCCGTAGGAACTACATACCTAAACATGAAGAGTCACTATCAGCAACTGTGTAAGTTTGCATGGGTAGACACACACACACACACTGTATCAAAGCAGCTTGCAGCCGGTAAGGCGTGCATAGCATGACAATGACGAACGGTATGTGACGTGCTGACAAAATTTGCATGTGCATCTTTACCTTCAGCCGATGTACGGCTCATGTTGCAAGGTGCCCCTAGAGGTACAACACATGTGCCATTGCTCCTCTTGGCCTTTACTTTGTATTGCTGGCTTTATCCATAGGTATGTGCATGTGCATATTCACACATGTGTATGCATAAAGGAAGAGACAGAGAGAGACGCACATAAAATGCTGGTAATACCCTCGGCGCTCAGTCAACAAGAACGGATGGCCCCTTGCATGCCCAGAAAGACGAGTTCGGTCTCATCAGTCCCACCTACATGACCATCGAGGACAGCCGATCCGAGCCCCAGCGCTGATCTTCGGAGCAGTCTCTGTTGCGGCTTTGGAGGTCGGAGGCTAGCCTTGGGCCGTGTTGCATACGTGCAGCTGAGGCTTAGTCTCGCTGCGTTGTAAGGTAAGTTTCGGGATGGGTCGGCTTTCCGATTGTACGGGCCAACCCAGCAGCTAGACTTGTGCTCCGCAATCCATGGAAAAGTTGAGTCTCCGATGCAGGAATGCCGTCAAGAATGCGAACTGCAATGGCCCCGGAGTGCGCTAGTCGCTCTGCTGGGGTGTGTATTTCAGGGCTCGACAGCAGCGGTCGGACTGGGATTCTCTGTTTCTCGCGTCTTGTCTCCCGAGCTGTGACAGTGGGAGTGCACCACCTTTGAACGTTTAGGGCCTTTTTGAGGCCTGGAGGCCTTCTTTCTTCTCCTCAGACCTTGAGGCTCAACTTCTCCAGAAAACTAAGGCCCTGCATGGAAGGCGGCAAGAACCCGAACACATGGAGTTATTTTAGGCACATTCGCCATCCCTGCTTTATGAATAGCCCTTCGACCCATTTAGGCTCCTCAACATCCTGAGCCATAGACCTCGGCCTCGCTCAACCCAAAATTTTGTGAAGATCATGTACTATACTACTTATGGAACAAAATACAGTAGGTTACAAAATACAGTACACAATCCATCCTTCAATGCAAAATATAGATATATACATATATATATATACACACACACACGCATGCCTTTCTAAACGACTCCCGAGTAACTGCAGGCGCGGCTTGAATGCCGAGGGCGGCCTCGGCCATCTCCGCGCGCGGGTGCGCGCCGCGCGGGCCAAAGACCGCCTCAGCGCGGGCGTCCGCAACGGCCACGGGGACTGAAAAAGAAGGAGGCCGAGCATCCGGCATTTGCGGGGGGCGGGGGGGGGGGGAGGGGGGGAAGGGGGGAAGTAGTCTGGGTACCTTTTCATCCCTCACCTCCGTATTCAGCTTCCCGGATTGACATCGTCAACTCGGAGCCGAAAGTTCGCGGCGAGCAACAACCTGAGCTCCACATTCTTTCGCAGCCTCCGTTCTTGATCCGCAGCCCTAAATCCGAAACCTGATGCCTTGGAAAGCTGGAGCTCTGAGCCGGATCTGGATCCTTGCATCCTTGCCGCAGCCTCTGCGCGTCGAGCTTGCTTCGGCGAGACATAGGTTTAACTGGCCCTTCTGGCCGATGGTATATCTGGAGGAGGAGCCGGAGGGGTTGAACCCAGACTTCAGAAGCATTATGGCAGCGTGACATGTGAGATCAGAAAGCTTTCGTGAGGGCCCGAAAGTACCCACACAAATATGGAGCCTGAGCCCTGAGCAGCTCCAGCAACCCCGAAGCTCCAAAACAACACCGGCTAAACCCTCAACCTGAATTCGATTGAACCCTTCAATCCCAAACCCCAAGCTCCTCCCCGACTCCCCAAACCCCAAGTTCTGCACGACAAACCCCGAAACCTACATCTTGGAGCCCCCGCTGCAGGTTCGCCCTGATTCTGGCAGGCGCCATGAGCAGACCAAGGTCGCAGAATGCCCGGACACTCTAGATGCTCGGGCCCGCCACAGCAAGGTTCGTTTTGGTGCTTTTGCCATGATGACTCCTCTTTTCGTTATACTCAAGACTGTTTCAGACTTTGTTATTAGCAGTTATTTGCTCTTACGATGACACCCTGAGTCCTCGTTCGGCTTCTGATCCCGACCTTGGCTTGCAGCGGAGAGGTCCCCTGCATCTGCGAAGAAAGAGCCCACTCAGCCCCGAAACGAAGGATGTAGCGGTCAACGAGACGCTCTACTGCGAGCCGTACGGCCCCCTCCTCAGGGTTCACCGAAGTAGAAGGCGGGTTCTAAGCTGAAGCCACGAGCACCCAAATTGTCAAGGCGTTGACTTTCAGTTCACAGCAGGGCTCTGACCTCGACTTCGAGCTTTCTCTGTCTTTTCGGCCAGGGCTTTAGGGACTGCCAATGGTTTCCTAAGGTGGAGCATTCGGTGCTATGGGAGCGGTGCCCGTGCCAAGGTGTCCCTCACAAGCGCATCGGAGATGTGATCCTTCCAGCTTTCCTGCATGCCCAGTCCATGGGATCCCTGTGCGCACCTCAGAGGACCATGAAGTCGTAACTGCAGCTTTTCAAGAAGAGCCGTGCGACGTTTCAATTCTATCATTCGTCTCATCGCAGATGCTGCCCCAATTCTTTTTGCAGCGTGAGCACTGTGGGCCTACATGTGCCTGATGAATTCCTTCATGTACGCCTTATACGCATCGACAATGACCCGTGTCCTTGTTCACGATTCTATCTTAGCCTTGCGCTTCTTATCTAAGGAAACTTCGAAAGTAAGATATACGTACCGCAACCAAAGCCAAGTCCCAAGAATCAGCCCCCGAAACCTTGAACCCTGAACCCTAAGCCCCTAAACCCTAAACCCTAAATGCATATCAAACCCTGAACCCTAAGCCCTAAACCCCGGAGGTCTGACCAATGGCGCATCACTGAGAACGACACGCTGCTGGCCATCTCCCCAGGTCGCAGCTCCCGAAAACTTGGAGTTCTCATCTGGGGTTTAGGGTTCAGGGTCAAGGGTTTAGGGTTGAGGGTTCAGGGTTGTTTAGGGTTAGGGTTTAGGGTTTTTGCGCAGAAGTCCCGAAGTTCTACAAGGCCCTGAACCAGAGACCTCTAAATCCTCGGATGGCATCAAAACCGAATTGGAGCAAGGGAGCAAAGATAGTGTTTTGGGTTCTGGACCCGGCCCGCCGACAAGGCCTCGCCCCCGTTCCTTGGACTTCTTGGCACATCTACAAAGTCAGTTGCACGTATCAGATGTCCTCTATATAGCTATCCAATAGAATCCTGACCTCAGACCGAAGACCTCAAAACATGTTTAAAGCCCCGACTCTATTTTCCGAAGCATCAGAGACTGTTTGTGTTGTTTCGATAGGCTCTCGTTCTTCGTGCTGTCCCTCTTCTCTATCTCCTCGTGGCTCATCATGCTCAGTTTGTCGGTGCTGTGCTCCTTCCTCCTGCCGCCATGATACCCTCAACCTCCCTCAACCCTAAACCCTAAACCCGCCCTTAAACCCCAAACTGAAAAGCGGCTCTTTCTCGCCTTTGCAGGCCTCTTCCCAAACATCCAAGTCCTGGAGCCTCTCTTCGCGCTGGCCGGCGATCCGCTGCCTGCGGATGCATCGCCAGGCGGTCGTAGCATTCTCGTTGTGCTTAGTAGACCCAGCGTGAATCCATGTCACCAGTGCTTGGTACTAGCAGACATCGGCATAGTGTCAGCAGCTGTGCTAGCAGCTTCGCATGCATAGAAACTGTCACAGCAACATCGGTCGTGATGATGCTTGCAGTTTCTAACCAACATGACGATGAGCAACGCCACCACGACTACTATATCACCGATGGGGTATTGCAAGACAAATCTAGCTGCAAACCATCATCTCGAGACGCCAAGGCCGCCAAGACCCAAACCTTGTAGCTCATAAAAGTGAGCATGCCACCGTTCGAAGCCCTGGCTAGGCGGGCCTGTCGAGGGGGCATGTGCCTTCCGCCAGCGCATGCTGGAGATGGAGACGAGCCAGGAGGAGAGCCCCAGGGCCGGGTCAGGTAATATATAATATATAATATATAATATATAATATATAATATATAATATAAAATATATAATATATAATATATAATATATAATATATGTCAATCTTTGGCGAGCGTGGGTTTAGGGGTCCTTGAGGTGGCGAAAAGCCCGGGAGGACACTGTGGTGTAGTTGGCCTGTTGCCTGCTGAGGCTTGCATGCCCGTAGCCTTTGCAGTAGCAGTCGTAAGAGCATGACGCCGGTCATGACCAAACCAAAACATGGTGCTAGCAGTAGGCACTGAGCATAGCGATGATGGTCGCACTCGCAGTAGTGCGTACTACTCAGGCAATGATACAGAGAGTAGCATGACTTCACTGACAGACAGACGAGATTAGCATGCAAGAATCTAAGAAAATCCAGCAGCATGGTATTGATTGCCGGTGCCGTGTTCAGCACCATCATCGTCAGCTGTACCACCGTAAGCACCATCATCATCATCATCATCATCATCATCATTCATCATCATCATCATCCTCGTTGTCGTCGTCGTCGTCTTCGTCGTGTCATTCATTCATCCATTCATCATCATCATCATCATCATCACCTTCACCTTCACCTTCACCTTCACCTTCACCTTCACCTTCACCTTCACCATCACCATCACCTTCACCTTCACCTTCACCTTCACCATCACCATCACCATCACCATCACCACCACCATCATCACCACCAGCAACAAAAAACACCACCACCACCACCACCACCTCCTCCTCCTCCTCCTCCTCCTAAGCAGCAGCATTGTCATGGTCCATCAACGAACAACGAACATAATCAACCGAACCCCTGAGTAGAGTAGGCACCTCAAAGCGGGAGATGCAGGCCGCTTGCGGACTACCGGCACAGCGGCAGTTATCATCACTCACCACAAGCACCATCAGCATCACCACAGCGTCAAAAGTCAGCGTCAACATCAACTATCATTGCAACCGACCAGCGCTAGCTGTAAGTATCACTGAGCATCTCAGCATTTCCATAGCAGCATTTCCATACCATCACTAGCATAGTCAGCACCACTCCGACAAGCACCGCTGTACCCTTCCAACTAGCTTGAATCGCCTCACCAGCGCATGAGGAGTTGAGTCGATCCGGTAACCGCTGCCTCTTCACCCTCCTGCCGCCCTGGCTGCCTCTTGGGCGAATGGATCCTGGCTCCCTTCGTTGTGCTCAGCGTTGTTTTCTTCAGAGGAGCACTCCTTCCCTTTGCGAATCCTGCAGAGATCTGGTTCAGAGGGAATTAGGTCTAGGTCATTCAGGCTTTCGGATCGATGCAGGCGGCAGGCCTTACAGCGTCTACGGTTTCGGCGTGGTAGGCTCACCTCGTCACGCTGCAGTGTTTCCGTTTCTCAGGCACTGCATGAAGGTGCAAGGGTGGTCACGTTGCCGACTGTCGAGAGTTGTCGAGCCAACAACGAAAGCCAGCGCCCGAGGCTGCCCATGAACGGAGCTCGACGATTCGGCAAGACAGCGGTGCGCGGGGGCGGGCTGACGGGCTCCTGTGTGTTCTTGTGACTGCCGGGTTGGCTCACCTTCAGTGACCTCCTGACAGGGCGACCGCTACGAAACGCCTGTCATTGTAGGCGAAAGCGGGTTTTGTTCTCGCATCGACGAGATTGAGTAACGGGATCAGGGCGTGGCGGGCCTTGTGTTTTGATTCATGTCAGCTTACCTGGTTGATTTGGGGTGGGCTTGAGGGATAGAACCGCTAAGAACCCAAGGCAAAGGCCGAAGTGCTGGAGTGCCCACAGGAACTTCAGGCAGTTCCCGCCCTCGCTCACAAATTCCGCGGACCGCACAGGTTTTCCTGGCGGACCCACGCTACCTCATCATGAGGCGGTTGGGGACATGTGAGCTTGAACCTGCCCTGAACCCAAGTGCAACCCGAAGCCCTGGACTCCAAAGCCTTGGAAACCGAGGTTAATAGTTGTGCACTGGTATGATGGGCGCGCCTTATAAGCTCGAGTAGGGTTGAGTAGCCTCAAGCTTAAGGCTCGGTGGTTCCCTTCTTGAGCTCAGGAGTCGATTCGCCCATGAGCCCGAAAGACCTTGAAGCAGGGGCTCGCTCTCTCTCTCTCTCTCTCTCTCTCTCTCTCTCTCTCTCTCGGGTTCTCGCCGCCCGTCCCTGTGAGGCAGCTGAAGATGTGGGAGATCTTCAAGACCTGCATGGCCAAGAAGGGCATATCCGGCTGCCAGGGACCGGGAGGGATGTGAGCCACTGAGGGG